CTTCTTCCCCTCCGCTCCAGCGCCGGGAGGGTCCCGGCCGGACGGACGCGGCGCGGCCGCAGCCGATACACTAACTTATTAGGGGTCGGCCGTAAACCAACTGGACGTATTGGGGGGAGGGCTGGGGGGTTGCTTTCCCACGGTCGCACCATGGTATTAGTATACCAGGGGGCTGATTAACCCCGCGGGCACTTTGGGAGGTATGCTGTACCGCATGCGCAGGCGTGTGGGTGGGTTGCCCATCCGGGAGGGTCAGGCGCTGTGGTCAGCGACGATAGGCAAACCCGCCCGCACGTCTGCCACGCGGACCAGTATAACTTCAAAAGAGCGCGACGCCGTTTTCATCTAGCCACACACGCCATGTCGTGGGTGGGATATTCTTCTTTATCCGCGTTACTTCATGCAAAATCAGTAGAGTCGTCAAATCAAAATCAAGTGTTTCGGAGGCCGTGATGAATTCATCCCGGGGGGTGAGACGTTTTGCCCGACCGGAAATAACGACAGAAAAAGACCTATCTATTCTTCCCTGAACTAGATTTGGAATCCGAGGAAAATATCCCCCCCCCCCCCCCACACACACACACATACACACTCACCTCGAACAGGATGTAGTCGGGCTGGTCAGTGAGGTGCGAGAGGATGTCGCCCAGCCCGGCGAGCGCGGGCGCCCAGGGCCGCGGGTGGTGCTCGCGCCCGGGCAGGTACGTCGTGAGGTTGAGGGCCACCTCGTAGGGCAGCAGGCCGGCGCCAGCCAGCGCGAACGCGTCGTCCAGCAGCTGCGCTCGGACGGCGACGGGCAGCCGCGATGGGTCGCGCCGCAGCTGTTCGGACAGCAGCCGCCAGTTGTCCAGGTCGTAGTTGACGCGGAAGAATCCTGGAGGCGCGAAAGGGCGGGTCAGAGGGAACAACAAGACTCAATCATATTTACTAATGGAAGACTTTTTGGGGGTACAAAAATTATGGGGTGCAAATATCATGAGGTCTCTACGGACTCCAATGATGTTCCGTATCATTTTGGGACCGCATAATATTTTGTACCCCCAAAAGGCTCATAGTAGAACGACCTGTAATGGTGAGTTAAATAAAAATACGACATCCAGGACATTCTTGTTTCACTCTGAAGGAGTGATAGGCGATGGGTGGTTCGTATAAATTCAAGCGTACATAGATTTTTCTAATTTTCCCTGGAAAAAAAACTATTTTTTTGCCTGATTTTTTATTGATTTTCCTTAGTTTTTGAAATTAATTTTTCTTGATTTTTACTTATTTTTCTGGAGGGTGTATGTAAATTAATTTTGTTTTTAAAGTGAAGTACCCCTACCGGTCTGCTGTAGGTTGACGAGCACCCAGTCGTCGGGCTTGTCCATGTCCAGGACAAGGGTCCTGGCGACGAGCCAAGCGCGCGGCCGCGTGTCCTGCAGCAGGGAGGCGTCCCGCTCCGCCTCGCTCTGGGTGACCATGCTGACGGGCACGTGCCAGAGCTGCGGCTCCGAGTACGGGCGGCTGCTGTTGCGCGCCCAGGGCCGACGCAGGAACTTCTCCTGCGTCAGGACCAGCTTGCCGCCGGCCCGGGTGACGTTCACCACGGGGAAGCCCGCCGCCCTCGTCCACGCCGACATGACCTCGGCGACGGTCGTGTTCTCCGGGAGGGTGACGTGCGCCGAGTCCGGGGGCGGCGCGCTGCGCACGGCCTCGGTGAGCGGCTCCCAGAGTCGCGACTCGGTGGTGCTGTTGTGCTTCCTGGGCCGACACAACAACACACCCACTGCGTCACTTTCGGCGCCGTCCAGCAGCCACTTCCGGTGCCGTTCACCAGCCACTTCCGGTCCAGGCCACTCACCACGTCTGCATGTACTGCTTCACCCCGCGGCGGAAGGCGGCGTCTCCCAGGCTGTGGTGCAGCATCCTCAGGAGGCACGCGCCTGATAGCGGAAGTGAATGATAGCGGAAGTAACTCATAACGGAAGTAAGTCAACAAACGCCGCAAGTAAAAGCGATTGCGACACCTTTAATAAGCGCCGCTAAAGTGGGCCCTCGTCGCAGCTGGAGCAGATGGCTCCAACACCTTACCCTTATCGTACGCGATGGAGTCGAAGGCCTGCATGATGTCGTGCTCGGAGTCCACGCGCGCGGCGATGGCCCGGGTCGTCTGGATCGAGTCGGACTGGAGCGCCGGCTGGAGGATCTTGACCTGGAAGCGCTCCATCATCTGCCACGATGGCTCCACCTGCGGAAATGACCATAACGGGGTGATCCCAATCCCCGTTGCCGTTCGACACGGGGACCGGATGCGTCTTCCCCGTACTCACGTGATCGACGGCGGCGCCCTGCATGTACTCCGAGAAGCCCTCGTTGAGCCAGAGCTCGTTCCACCAGGCCGCCGTCACCAGGTTGCCCAGCCACTGGTGCGCCAGCTCGTGCGCCACTGTCACGGCCACGCCCTCCTTGGCGCCCACGTCGGCCTCCGCGTCGAGGAGCAGGGCCGGCTCGCGGAAGATCAGGAGCCCCCAGTTCTCCATGGCACCCGCGTCGAAGTCCGGGATGGCGAGCAGGTCGAGCTTGCGCAGCGGGTACCGCACCGAGAAGTACTCGCCGAAGAAGTCCAGGATCCTGGGCGTCAGCTCCACCGCGTACCTGCCCTTCGCGAGGACGGCCGGCCGCGCCCACAGGCGCACCTCTATCTTCGGAAGGGGGGTCATGGCGTCAGTGAGCGTGCTACAGGTACCCGAGAGCGGACGCGCAGAGGGTCGCAGGAGACAACTACCTCGCCGCCGTCGTTCGCCGCCCTCCGGAGGCGCTGCGTCCGGGGAGTGATGTAGCTGGGGCACCACGAGCACGCATCACTTCACAGTCTCGATCACTCCGTCACTCCGAGAATGTTGAGAGGGCGTACGTACCTGAAGTCCGTGACGGCGAAGGCGACCAAATATGTAGACATGGGCACGCTCTGCTCAAAGTGGTGCCAGCGCCAGCCGGGGGCCGCTGAGCTGCAACAGGAAAAGCCGTGACCGTATCGGGTGCCAGCAGAATGCGCGGTGTCTCGATACGATATCGCATGCATGCATATCGAAGGCTGGATATCGGTCTATCGACGCCTACCTGGGCGCCGCCCGCGCGCGCGACTTACATCGGCTCGGTGGTGTTGAGCGGGGCGTTGGCGAGGACGTGCATCGCGTCGCTGGAGGCGATGCTGACCTGGAAGGGCGCCCGGAAGTCGGGCTCGTCCAAGCAGGGGAACGCCTCCCTGGCGAAGGTGGGCTGCATGTGGGTGGTGGCGAGCCACCTGGGCGGCGAGAGGAGGCCGACGGTGAGGGGAAATGAGAAAACGAAACGTGCACATGGCTGGAAGAAACGGCTCTCACTTCTTTGCTTTGGTCTCGGGGTCCACGTAGCTGGAGCGGTAGAAGCCGCTGAGCGAGTCTCCCAAGGTGCCGTTGAACCTGATGAAGACCACGTACAGCCCGCCCGCGGGGAGCCGGTCGCCGACCTCGAGCTCCAGGAGGTCCCATGCCGGGGTCCTCTTCACCGTGACGCCGACCTTGTGGAGCGCCGGCGTGGACGTGTCGGGGAACGCGTCCCAGGACTCGGCGAGCGCCTCGGCGAGCGGGCACGCCTCCGCCACCAGGACGCCGTCGTCGGGGATGGTGAGCGCCGGGGCGGCGTGCAGCGTGACCCGGTCGGCGCCGGCCTCGGCCGCCACCTTCACCGTGAGGGCCAGCCGCCCCTGAGAGCGAGAGCCCCCTGTCGTTCAGCGCACAAGGTACTGGAAATACATTTCAAGCAAACAACATTGTCTGGTCGTACCTCAAAGCTGAACGCCGTCCTGTTGGGCACGGGCACGTCGAGGATCGGCCAGAGGTGCAGCCGGTACCGGACGGGCTGCACGTCCTGGGGCAGGCGCTGGCCCGCGCCATCCCGGTGCGAGCCCGTGGGCTCCCCCAACGAGGTCCCGAGGCTGGCGGGGTTCTGCGGCAAAAACAAAACACAAATAGCGCACCGGGAGGTGTACGGCGCACCATTCCGCTCTTTACTTCCGCGCCCGGAGCACCCCATCCAGAGCAGAGCAGGCCGCTGGCTGCCGCTGGCGGTCGTAAAGGAGAGGCGCGCGCTGCATCCCGGGGGCCGCCCTCAACTTGGGGGTGATAAACAAGCTTGCTTGGGGGGCGATAATGAATTCGCCGATGGAACCTGTACAGCGTAGGGCAGCCCCCCACCCCACCTCTACCTCTGCCACCCCAACCCCACGCCCCCTCTTCGGAACAGATCGCTCCAAAATAGTTTCGGCCTCTCGGCAATGAGGCCAGTAGTGCTTTCGGTGTTTACCTTCTTACAGGGGGGAGGGGGAGAGGGGGCGCAGCTGGCAGTGACCCAAATACACACTACGCGTCTGCGGGGGCCGCGGGGACTCGCGGTACTCGCGGGGGTCAACGTCTGGGCTAGGGCTCGCAACCACGTGGCACCACGTGGCACTAAAGTGGCACCACGTAGCACCAAGTGGTACTTAGTGGCACCACAAAGCACTAAGTGGCACCACGTGCACACATTCCATTTCCAGGTGGCGCTGCCCGAACGTTGTGCCGTCGGGTTGACGATGCTGCCCTCCTCTTACCTGCGGCTGCGCCGGCGCCCACACGTAGCGCCCGAAGAAGGCGGCGAGGATGATGGCGGCGACGACGGCGGCCGCGAGGAGCGCGCCCCGGACCCGGGTCAGGAAGCAGCCGCCGGTGCGGCCGTACGTCAGCGAGCCGGCCGACGGCTCGGCGACGAAGTCGGACCGGGAGTTGCCGTCCGGGGAGGACATGCCGACGCCTGCGCCGACCAATCAGGAACCTTGATGTTCTACCAGCTATTCTTCTTCTTCCTCCGTCAGCCGAGATACACAATTTTGAAGTTGTTGTCGGCATGACGTTGGCCTGGGCGGCACACAGGGCCACGTGGACCACTCTCTCACGGCGCGGGGGCGGGTATTGCACGACGGGGTTATTTCAGCGGAGGGTGGCGGCCCGCCGCGCGCTTTTACGACCGGCTTAGCTTTTGGGTCCAAACTGTTGAGTCTACAAGTCGTACGGCAGCGCGGCAGCGGCAGGGGAGGAGCAGGAAGAGGAGGAGGACGAGAAACGGACGGGGTTGGGTTAGGTTTGGTGTGGAGGGGCGCGGCTATTCGGCCGGGATAGCCTACACTACTTGTAGTGGGCGGGTGTGTGTCTGCGTGTTTTACAGAATCCCTCATCGGCGATGATACCGGGGGGAGGGAGGGACGGAGAAAGAGAGGGAGGGAGAGAGGGGGGG